TTTGCGATCCTCACACGCACTGGCAATTAAATTGCAAACGACTGGTGATAATTTTAATAGTAGAAACTCTACCGTTGAGGCGAAATAATAGTTTTATTAGATTCTCGCAGGACGTACTACATTTTATTTTTTTTACAAAAAAATAATACTCTGACAATTTTTTGCATGGCAATTGCAAAACCTGCAAACGATTCCGCAATTTTTGGTACTTTTTTTTTTTGCTGTATGCAAGTCGTTCGCACAGTTCACTGTGCTGGAGTATTCGTGTTGAAATGAGCATATAGGCGCACGTTTTGGAGACACGTAGAAGGGGTAAGTATACCGAATGTGTGCCCACGAGGAGAGGAGTAGTTTCGCGTGGAAATGAGCATGTAGGCGCATATTTTGGAGATTCGTGGAAGGGGGGTATACTGATTATGTGCGCCCACAAGTATGAGAGGAGTGGAAATGACTATATAGCTATATAGCAGAGCGCACAGCCAACGCAAACGACGACACGAGTCTTTCTCTCTATACTTATATACTATAACCAAAAATACTTATAAGTTTTTGCTATTCAATTGATTCTTGTTTCAATGCTATCTATATCTATCTCATTTAATTAAAATGTAGAAGTTAAATGCTCAAAATTATAATAACGCAAATCCTAACACAACTAGGGGTGGTAACTGGTCACTATAAATATTTAAAATCAATGGAATAACGCCAGCCTCTCGGATCATGTGGGGATTAGCGCTCACATTATTCTATGAATTGCAAATAATCAAAGCAACCAGTAAGCTCCTTCGGTTGTGTGGGGATAGGCGCTTGCGGTATTATTTTATAAATCATAAATAATCAAAGCTACCTGTAAGTGCCTTGGGTCGTGTAGGGATAGGCGTTTGCGATATTATTTTATAAAAATAAGTAATTAAAGCTTCTAGTAAGTGCCTTGGATCGTGTGGGGATAGTCGCTTGCGGTATTATTTTATTAATCATAAATAATTTAAGCAACCAGTAAGCTTCCCTCGTTGTGTGGGGATAGGTGCTTGCGTTATTATTATATTAATCATAAATAATTAAAGCAACCAGTAAGTGCCCCTGGTTGTGTGGGGATAAGCGCNTATTTTTAAAAAATATTCAGCTTAAACTATTTTTTAAGGATGTTAGTTCAGCTGTTATCTCAAGCTCCGGAGGTTATCCATAAACATAAATGAACTCTACATCAGCAGCGTCCAAACGTTGGATAGCTAAGGTGTTTAAGACTTAAGCTGCGGATTGGGTTGTTTTGCGATCTTGGTTTCGATTCCAACTATAGGCCTTTTTTTTTTTTTCCTTTTTTTTCTTTTTTTTTTTAATGCGGTTCATCATTCTGTTTCATTTTTTTATTTATTTTTATTTATGTGTCTTTTCAATTTATATATTATGTCGACAACACTTTTTTCCGATTCGTCGAAACAAAACCGAAGACACAATAAAACTTACCTTTATTACAATAGTAGCAAACATAATTATTACCAGCAATGTCCCT